ATCTCCCAGTTTCTTTTCATATTGTCTCCCATGTGGCAGAAAAAAAAACAATGCGTAAATAGAATAGAATAGAAAATCCCTTTATTGTCCCACAAGAGGGAAATTATGGTGTTTAAAAAGATTATAGAAAAAATGGTCACACAAATGTGGACCTTAGAAAGCGTTAAAAAATAAAGAAATAAAACACTGTATTGTAAAGTCTTTTCACAATATAAATACTGTACACCTAGAGAATAAATCACCAATATGCAGCTATGGACATTTTTACAGTAATGGATATGTGAAAATAGCAGCATAATTAGAAATGTGTAAAATGACAGCAGCATGTTATTTAACTCACCAAGATAGAAACTGTGCAAAATCTGCATGAATATAACAACTTATTGAGGTTGTTGGGAACAGTGGTGGTTATAGAGTATTACAGCTGCAGGAAGGAAGGATCTGTGATAACGCTCCATGGTGCATTTAGGGTGCAGCAGTCTGTCACTGAAGGAGCTCTCCAGTTCAGTTGGTAGTATGTTAGAAAAAGTATGAGAAAGATACAAAATCCCGCCAAAAACGAAAATAATCAAAAGGATAGATGAAAGTAGGAAAAACTCTGGAAAATAAAAGGGGCTGCTGAAACAGGCTGTTGTTTTATGTCCAGGACTGAACAGGACCCTATATATTCAGCTGGGTTGTATTCAGAGTGTGTATCTGTAGACAAACTGATTATTGGAATCTATTAAAATATTTGCAATGAATAAGACTGAACTTCATTCCACCATTAATCTGATCATAGATAAGTCTTAAAAAACTTCCTCTGCACCAAAGTGTCGATTTAAAGCAAGCTTAAATAATCATTTTAGACTGCTTCATTTTCTTTACTTGCTCAAACTGCAGGGGAAAATGATAGAGGTTTTTTGGAAAACCTTTGTTTTTAAAAAAATATTTTATTAGTAACCATATATTAATCTATATTTAACTTTTTAGTGATTTCCATGAATTTTTTTTACCATTTACTGCTGGGGTACAACTTTATTTTTACTAATTCCGTAAAAGTTTAAAAAACAATCCACTTGACTTGGTTTCCAAGGTTTGAAGATGTTTCGCTTTCCTTCCAGAAAGCTTTCTCAATTCAAAATGTCTGGATTCGCATCGAGTTTGAGGCGAATCCAGACATTTTAAACATTCAACTGATTTTACCCTTCATTTTGAATGATCTATCAATTAACTACAACTCCCAGTCCTAGTTAATCATATATATTCATCTTCTCCAGGTAAAATATCACAACACATCTTTATTCTTTAACATCCAGAGATTTAAAGAAATGCAAACTGCTACAAAATGATGTTACTTTTATTTAAGCTCATTAAACCAGATATTATAAATAAATTAGTTTGAAATCACAGTGAGACACACAGAGAGAATAATTTTTAGTAAAACTCTATGAAGCATGAACCAAAATCCTGATTAACATAAACCTCCCAAAATCTACTGGTTCCGATAAGAATTTGATCCAGTTCCATTTCTTGGACCAACTAATAAAACTCTTCATTAAAAGTTTGTGTGTTGATGAGGAGAAAAACTGACCTCCAAACAGGGGACCCCCTTGCTGATTGGCTGCGGGTACTCTCTAAGGAGGCGCTCTTCGTCCAGGAACTTTCCGTCCCTCCCGTTGCTCGCTGGCTGGAAGAGCCCGTAGTTCAGCACATCCTTCAGGGTCTGATTGAGCGTGCACAGGATCCGCTGTTTGGCGATCCAGACCGTCGCGTCCGGGTTGAACCGCATGCATTTCTGCTCAGAACCACAGGGAAAGAGGAAAAATAAGAATCATTTCACAAATTCAATATTTAGCTTAAATAACAAGGAGGAGGTAAAAGCTGTGAAGTATTTGCTCTCCTTTCCAGAATCTCTGTTTCTGCTTCTATGACCGTTTCAGAAAAAATGAGGAAGGGGTTGTCTCCATCCCATCCTAGTAGAACTAAACTGAAGCAGAATAGGGCTGCAACTGATGATTAGTTTACAAATCAATTAATCTGTTGATTATTTTTTGCGATTAATAATCGGATAGCCAAAGTTTCCTTAAAGAGGACTTTTTGCAATATGAAACCAGGTGAAACTATAACTTTTCCACTATGAGTCCTGAATACAGCAGATTGACGGATGAAAAAGTATTTATCTTAAATACAAAATGTTTTTTTTTTACAATTTTGGTATAGTTACTGCTCTAAGTCGGTCACTCGATAAGTTAAAGGCTTGATTAGCTACAGTCTCTATTCTCCAGTTAATTAATAAATTGATTACTAAATTACATGATAATTATTTTAATAATTGATTAATCCAATTTATTGCTTCAGCCCTAAAATAGAGAACAGGATTTTAAGAAAATGAACAAGCATCAGCTTCAAACTGTCATCAAGACTTTTTTTTTTTTTTTTAGGTACATTAAGGTTTGGTTGATGATTTCAAACAATAAAATGTCCCAGAAAGGCAAAGAATTAACAAATCTGTGGTGGGGCGAAAATTTTCCAACACCACTGTGCATTCCCAGAACAATGGGCCCAATAGAACCAGTCCACACATCCACCAGCTGCTTTAATGACAGGAACCCAGTCCTGCTTCCTCTGAATGGAGACGGGCTGCCAAGTGTTTGTTATTTATTATGACAGCAGACAGACTGAACAGGGTCACTTTGCACATTGAGGGTGTAATTGACTGAACCCTCTCGGCCCGCTCGCTGCTCCTGGTTTCAGCTTGAAATTAAACAAACAAACAATGGCGGATTTCTGCCCTCGCCTGGATCTGAGAGGATTACCGATGCTGCGCCGCAGTGTTTGGGAGGCGTCTGCTTACAGCTGGATTCGCTGCTGGGTGGGTGATAAGCAGCCCTGCATCTATCAGATGCTAAAGGGATGAGCAGGCTGAGCCCCGCCTGGCTTATGGCAGCTCCTAGCATGGAGTGGGCAGACACCAGGAGAAGAAGTGAAACAGAAGCAGATGTCTGGCACCTGAAGGGGCTTTTCTGACAGATTGGGCCAAAGGTTTATTACAGAAAAATATTTCCATCCGCTCCTGGTATTGTTCCTCCTCAGCCACAAACAACAGCTTCATTAAACATGTTGGATGTTTGAGTGAAAATCTTTTTTTTCCTGAAATGAGGTTGCTGTGATAATGGTGCTCAGCGTGCAGAAAAAAGCAATGCAGACTCCTTCGACAGAAGAGACACTTTAAACTAAAACTCATTATTATGGTGATTAAAAGAACCAACCAGCAGCGATCCTCAGAACAGCAGTTTTGTACCATGCACCTTTTTATTTGTGTTTAAAAACCGTTTCAGACTTGATGTTAGGACTCCTGTCTTTGTGGTTTGTGTGTTCGTCTTCCTTCCTCCACCAGGTGGCGCCTGGTCCTGGTTCGCCTCCTCACACACCTGCGGAGGGTTTCCTCGTTAACGGAGTGCTCTTAAGCTGCTGACTGCCACTACCTCAACGCCAGAGTGTTTGCCAGTTTTGGGTACTCTAGCCAAGCTGAGTTTTGCTGAGTCAAACTGAGTTTTTGTCTACCTGAGTTTTAATCTCGCTGTTTTTGTCTTCGCCTCTCGGCAGGAAGTCATCCTGCAACTGGATGTTTCGGACCTTCTCTCCCCTGGAATGATACAACAATCGACCAAAACGAAAGTTACTTCTACTATTACTCTGTTAACAAACTTTCAGGACAATGCTTAGATCAATCTAAGAATGTTTCTCCTCATCTCTAAGATCTCCCAAATATTAAATTGGATAGTTGGTTTAAAATTTTAATGTAAACTTGTTATATACCCCAAACCTAAAACAAACCCAGAAATACCAAATATGTGTATCTGGCAAGCACAGTCAGTGTGTTATACCACTAAATGAATCAAGTGTTCCATATAAAAAGAGAAGAAATAACTGGTGGTATGCTGAATCCAGTAAAAGCATTTATACCACTAAAAAACAGCAGGGAGACAAACTTGCCAATTGGAGGATTAAACCCAGAAGACCCATCATCATAATTGGGGATTCTGATCTGAAGAGATTGACTCCTATCTCTTTTTCCCTGGTGGACTTTTATCCAGGAGCATAATTTTCTCATGCCATCCACATCTGGAAACTGATTCAAACCACAGAGACTGTTGCCAAAATCATTGTTTCCTTTTGCAAAAATAACAAGGATTACAAAGACAGAACCACCATCTACAAAGTCACAACTAGTCACAACTTAAACCTAGCCACAGCACCAGAAATATACATCCAAATAATCGTTTTCTCAATGGTCTTATCTTCATTCAGAGGTAGAATCTTAGGAGGTCTTGCAAAGTTAAGGTTTTATTAAAATAGTATCAAGCCTAAGCTACAGTCTTTCACATTGTCTTCAAGTGTTGCGGTAGATAGCTGGATTTCCGTAAAAGTTCAAAAAATCCACTGGACTTGGTTTCCAAGATTTGAAGACGTTTCGC